TTCACTCGAAATTTTATCTTAACCACTTGGCTGTGATACAAAATTTATTCAACGTTGTACTATGATTATTTTTATTTCATGAAAAGATTTATGTTGAATATAGATTTTTTTAGCAACCTGAACTACAGTTGTTTTGTTTCATGGGAATAAATCATATGATTTGCCAGGAAAATGTATCCCGTAATTAGCTAAAAAACAAATTCAATAATTTCTACGATATCTGTTGTATTACTATGTAATTAATATATATATATTAAAGCGAATGGTTTCACAGTATTTGGGCACCGAGTTGATGTAAGACATTAAATAGGAATAATATGATTGTAAAATCTTAGTGAATGAATTTGAAAAACTTGGATCAGATTGCCAGGCGAAATGTTGGATTTAACTCAAATTCAGCAAGGTGTACCTGTAATCCTGAGGGAACTGATGCTCCCTGGCGGATTCGATCCCGCGTCGGGCTGCGACCAACCTCCTGTAGGACTGAGATGTAATCACAATTGATTGATCACCCGAGTCCAGGGTTTCCTGTTGACCACCTCCAACCACCATCTTACCTCAATATACATAGTGCAAGCAGTGTCGAGCCACCTAGACTGGTGGTCACATTGCAACTCGATCGATAGCATTCGATCAGCACTAAGAAGGACCTGACACGCATGAGATTGATCACCACCCAGTGATCAATCAATTGTGATTACTTCAAATTCATTCCCTGAGATTTTACAAATATTTTTTTTTTTTAACATGTAATTTATAGCACAAAATTCTGTAGAGGGCTATATTTGTATTTGTATATATTTGAAAACTAGACTTTTATTATTTCATCATTGAATAATTAATGAAAGAATGAAGACATAGATAATGAATAATCAAGGCTATATCGAGGCAATAAGCACAGTATGCACATATGCCAATTAGAGACTGACCAGTTGCAGTCCTGACACATCGATCGGAAGATTCAAACAAACAATACTAAGTGAATTTAATGATTTTTTTTATTGTTTTTTAAATTTTTCATTTACTAATCCCTTCACTAAACAATCCATTATATTTTTGTGACAGAAAATTACTCTCCTTTTTGTTTGATACTTCTTCTTTTTAGTAAATAAAAACATTTTAACATTGTACCCCATTTTGATTTTACTTATTTATTTGTTTGACTGAACTTTTATTGTTAAATATATTTTAAAATAAATAACTAATTAACTGATATACAGGAAGTGGATTATTGAAATTAAAAAAGGGCATAGATATAATGCTTCTGGATAAAAAAAATAACTAACAGGAAATTATTTAATATGGTAACTATAGTGATCGACGGAAGATATAAGTTTATTATATATGAATTAATAACAGATAATGCTTTATCTATATTTGATTATTGATAGAGAATGAAAACAGTATGAAGTAGAAGATAAGACACCTGAATTTCACATTCTACACAATTACCTGGTTACGTCAATATATATTATACACAGTTAAAAATCATTAGACTGATAATCTAAGTATGGCTGATGCATGTGTGAGGGATTTAAGTGTCAAAATCAAGCTGTCATACTGTCAGCTTTGGTATCCCTTGGAGTATGGATGTTTAAAAAAGAAAACTACTTAATTACTTAAAAATTAAGCCTCCTCACATAAGTACGAATATCAGTTGAATAAAAAGTCATCTGGTCATATAGCTTCAAAGTATCAGATTATTCACAGATTTTGTCGATGAATTTAGTAACTAATAAACGATGATATCTTATAAACAAGTGTAAATATGGTTAGTATCCGATTTTTGAAATATAGTCAAATGTCATTTGAAGTTGGCCATTGTTAAGAAAATAAACAAAACAGTAAAATTTATTTTACTTTGATTAGGCACTATACTTCAGAAAATGAATCTAAATCATGAACCAAATAAGCAATATATTGTCTAATAACAATACTAAAACAAAAAGAATTACTGAGTTCATTACCACAGAAGACACTACTAATACTTCTATGTGTTTATAAGGAATATTATTGCATAGTTACTGATGATAATGATACAAATTTTAAAAGACATGCTAACTAATGTTCTAATTTACAGATATTATTATGTTAACATTTACCGTATCCATGGTTGGTTTGATTTGTTTCGAATAGACGATACTTTTCAGCAAGGACTCATATTATGTAGAAAACTACTAAAACACAAAGAACATTGGATTAATGTCTTTTTTTATAGATGAACTCAAAAATTCCTACAATCGAAACTAAGTGATCGAAATATCATCGAATAAAAAAATTGGAATTCAATGGTCACTGTTTCTTCATCTAGTCAGTTTGTAGGAATAGATGATAGTTATCTAATCTTATGGGTAGTAACTCCCTTCACTACCCATTGCTGTAGATTTATTAATTATGACGACAAAACTAAACAGATCGGCTAGTGTTCAATGTTCCTTCGGCTGAAAATGTTATGTGATTTTCAAACTAATACTTAAACTCACAATGCTAAGCACTACATGCCATTCATAGGTAGATTTATCTAATTGTAGATTTAAGATATATTTTCCCTGTTGTTAGTAGTATGTAAATATTATTGCTATTAAAATGTACTATAAACGATGACTAACTTTATATTCTTAAGAAAATGAATGAAAATGTAAAGCGTTCCTGAAATCCGTTGCTTTTGTTACATATATTTAGAACTAATAGGTGAGTAACATATAAACTTTGAAATGTATGAATATAAAAATTACATACATTTCTTTTCAATATGACACCTATTTGACATCAGATACGGTTTGTTTTGTGTGATGTAAACATTTCTACAAGTTATTTGACAGTTTTACATAAGAGTAACAAAAATGATAAGCCACTAAATTTATTAATAATAATAACAATGATAATTGTTATTAATCCAGAACATAATAGTCTCTATTCAAGTCAGAGTAAAGATATGACTTGAATCTATCTTGCATTGAATAGTTTCTACAGATTCGGTAAATAAAAAGGGGATCCTTCATTCTAAATTTTACATCTTATGAAAGTCCTTAGTCGTAATGTGATTCAGAATATCCCCCCTTCCAGCCGTAAGAACATGTTGAAGTGTAGTAGGCTTTTCTAGAGAAGCGTGATACATCGAAGCACGGCACAATTACCGGTGAGGGATAGCTGTTTTTGCACTGCTTACGCAGAACCATTACATAACACTCACATTTAGTTTTATTTTAATTTTTGAGCAGACTCATTTTTTACCATCCTTTTGAACCCTCAATAGTTATGAAATGACTCTTTGTAGCATTCGTAATCATTTGCGGGTTTAGGTTGAGTCATTGATTAGACTGATCTCCACCACTCTTATTACCGCTCACGTAAGTACATGGGATGGTTGCCATGATCCAGGAGACACGACGCGGAAGTGTGAGTCAGATTTCGCCTACCAGAATTTCTTATAGATATCTTATAATTCTGATTGATAAAAAGTGATATCAATTTATAATACGAACATTAAAATATTCTATTACTTTTTTCATGGTCAGTCAGTTTTAAAATTAGTTTCCGTTTTAGTAGATTTATTTATTTATACAATTAACCTTTCTTAACAATGGTAATAGTTTCATTTTGACTTACTAGAAACTTTGTTGCACCATCACAAAAGGAAGTTTACATAAGTGTTGTATCAGTAAAGTTACGTGTTAAAATTAATATATCGGGTTAAACTTGCAAACTTAAAGGAACTCAAAATCCCTCGGTGACTATAACTTTTTACAACACGCTGTATGAAAATTTCACCGAATAAACTTTCACCTACTACACCGACTGATAAACTTGACATTTTATATTACTTCACAAAGCACTTTTATGATTCTTGATTAGAAAGAAATGAATAATAGCAAAAATTGAGAAAAGCAAGTAAAGTCCATATTCATACTTTATGGATGCTGACTTTTCGTAATATTTCATTATTATTAGTAACAGAAAAAAAATCGCCGTTGTGTATTAAACTTACGAAAAGTAAATAAAATGTGACAAATTTATGAACTCTTTGTTACATTTCTAACAGCTCCTTATTTTCAAAATGAAAAACTAAATAATCGTTTACTGAATAAAAAACAATACAACCCATTCACATGATATCGTTTACTTGAATCTTTCTATTGTTGTTTGGGACTGCAAGTGGCTATCAGGACTCATTAACTGAGTGGATAACGCAATGGTAATTGAAGCGAACGGTATTGAGTTCGAGTCCTGGAGTGAACATCAATTATGAGGTGCATGTGCATCCAGCTGACGAGTCCCAAATAGGGCGAACGTGCGTTTTGAATTCCACTGCTAGCCACTATCCATCTTTGTTTATAATATAACTCACTTTTTTCAAATTAGTGTGAATGTTTTCTAAATCAATTTTTTGATCATCATCCTTTACATCCTATACAACTGTGTACTTGTTTTATATTAAGCAAGTCAGAAACTATTTTCAGATGAGTAAGGAGAAATGCGATTTTGAGCAGATGATATCAAAAGTTCTATATCCTTTAATTTCAGTGTCGATGAATAAATATATTTAACTTTCAGTATGAGGTTATGGAAAATGTTGAATTTCATTGAAATCATAATGCAATCTAAGTCAGACCGCCACTGGACGTTATTGTCTTCCTAGTATAGAATCCTTCAACAAAGTGTATCCACTAATCCGCAATAAAAATCAGTACAGTTTTGATATCAATTAAATAAATATAGGTTTGAAACAGAGATTATATTGAATGGATTCAAGATTTAGAAAAATATCTTTTAATGGTAAGAATAAAGTGTTATCATTGTACCGAAATATTTCAGTTAAAGCGAATGGTATGAACGCTTTATTTTTTATTATTATTATTATCGAAAACTCACTTCAGTTAATTAATTCTGTTATTTCGATTATTTTATTCCTTTTTATTTCAGTCATAAATTCTGGTCAAAATGATTTAATTTTAACCGTCAATACAATTAATGATGTTATCTCTTTTAAATCATTTTAGGTAATTATAAGACGGGACAAATTGAATAGCTACACAGTGATCAAATTCATAAATACTGAATTCAATTAATGAATGGTATACTTTGAAAACTGATTGGACGTTTGCACATCTGCTATCATTATAATACTATTCCAAATAGTTTAAAAAATGATCATACTATTAATGAAAGGTAGCTACAATCATGTGTTGGTGTTACTATCGTTGATAATTTATGTGTCTAGGCAATCAACAGTCAGTTCGGGTAAGTCCTTAAGAAAGTAATAGAGTATAATTAAAATCTAATATGTTGAGACTTGTTTAACTTGCAAATAATTTTTTCTGGTAACTTTGCCTAAATGAAGAACTATTGAGAAATTAAGCTCATTCCAACAGCTGCTTAGTTTTAGATCTTTTATATTTTGCAAAGTTTATAATGTTGTTTCGTTATTGAATCAAACCTTAAAAGGTAATATCCTGCATCCTCAGTTTAAAATTTATCAATTTCCTTCTGGGAAAAGTGTTTTAAAACTATCGGTTTTAATTTATCTATTTTTACATTTGTGAATTATATTTGAAATGTTCTTGGAATTCTTTGATTGATAAAATGTTAAGACACAAGAATGAACAAAATTTATATTAGTAAACATTTTCTTACATCATAGACTGATGTGAGTTATGGAACAAATGAAAAGTAAGAATAATGGATCGCTGTTTCCATTTATTTCAAATTCCACGGCAGTTTATCTCTACAACCCTACATTAGCTCGAACCCATTACCTATATGTATTACCGTGGTTATGATAACTTAAGACCACTGATTTGGAATTCAACGTCTTATAGCTGATGTTATTCGCTTAAGAAACAACTTGAGATTGAAATTACTTCACAAATCATTATTTCAATGCAGCTTATTTCTTATTTAAATAACTTCGGCAATTATTATACAATGGAATTGTATTTTTTTAAATTTATTTTGTTTTTTTTGATGTTAACATTACTTATTAAGTGAGGTATAACAAGTGAAAATTAACAACAAAAAAACGAGAATATTTTTTCTTTAAATTCAATTTCTGTGTTATTTATTTTGATTGTATCCTGATTTATTATTAGACAATAGAAACTGAAGCATGTTATTTCTTTTAAAAGGAAGGAAACTAAAGTACTTCAAGTTTTGGACAAAACTAAAAGTATCTAGACAGTCCATTGTATTTTTTTTAGAAATAACGTCAGTATGAATAGCATAGATTAGTACTTAATGAAATATTACATCATGAATTTATCTAGTCTTAAAGTTTGCAAGACATGATAACATTGTCAGTAGTTTACAAAAGATAGGTAAGTAGTATTAACCATGGATAAATAATTGCCTTCACTTAGTATTGTTTGTTTGAATCTTCCCATTGATGCTTAGGACTGCAACTGATCAGTCTTTAATTGGCCATATGTGCATACTGTGCGTATTGCCTCGATATTGAATTGACTTTCCTTGTGTGATTTTTTGTTGCACTGAATGTCAGAACCCATGATTTTATAACTATTGCCGGGGATAAAAATAACACGTTTTGGCTATGAATTTACTTTCGATAATTTGAATAGACTTATTTGCCACAGTTCATTTCATATTAACGTTTGCTACCAATTAATTGAGATTACGCTTGATTGTTATATTGCCAGTTTAGAAACCAGTTTAGCTTTATTATTACACTCTACAAATTCACAAGATGGAGTACATTTTCATGTTATGCCTACTTTTACGTATTATAATCAGAATATCATTTATGTAATATTCAAGTATTACTTTACTCCAAGATGAGTTGAATTAACCGCAGTCTCTTTAATTGTACTTGAAGCATATATTGAAGTTATATATATAAGGTGGAAAATTAGGATATTCTGAATATAGATATTTAGTTCATGTAATTATTTTAAAATAGTTAAGTGTTACGTTTGAGTGTGGCCGAACATAAAACACTTCTTTGATGCATTTGAGTGCATGTAACAGTCTCATTGACGGATGAGTTATGCTCCTATACTTTGATATTCCTACAGATAAAATGAATTTTCAGCTCATTGTTAAGTTTACAAGCGATACGAAAATCAGATGAGCATTGGAGCAACCGGGACATCAATCCATCAATATAAGTATTTATAAGTAGTATATGTACATAATCGTAATGTTACAGAGCGATCAACGATTATCAAGAAAATCAGGAATTATTCAGTTATATGACTCATAAAGTCTACATTGATTAACGTTATTCACCTGAGAAAGTGGTATTTTGGGAAATATAACACTTTACAGGACCATCACTCAGACTAAACATGCATTGGCAATAATTAACAGGCAAATCAACGAAATTTCATAACTTCCTACTTATGCAAATACTTGGTTATGAAAAATTCAACCTTAACGTAGAAATTAAAAAAAGTGATGCTGATTTGTTGTTTCTATAGTAACTTCAATTTTTGAATTACTGTATCTTAATTAGCTAACTTATTCACATCATACATGTAACAGACTTCTCTAAAATTGTATAAACCGTCCAACCCCTCTAAGCAATCAATACATAAACTAATGTTTTTAATTTACTGGTCCAAGATAATTCTCATCTCATACTTATTCTGCGTTCATTTAAGACTTTATCTGAAAGTCATGCATGCACGTTGCCTGAGTGACAAGGTTACATCACTTGAACTGGTTACGGTCAATAATTTTATTTAAATCAATAAATTTTGTAAATTTGACTACGACCATCGAGAACAGTTGGGAATCCATAAAACAAAATATATTCCAGTTAATTAGTTTCAATTACTATTCATGCTTTGTTCAGACTTACAAAGAGAATAAATAACACAAAACTCAGTCCATATTTTGTACGGTTCAAAGTTACAAGCTTAAATAGATACATGAAGAATTATTTAGTTAAAATTGTAAATTAAGATTAAGTTTTTATGAGATCCATAAATCATCAGTTGGTTATGCCATGCAAATATTCTTAAGGTTTGATCGGTTGATTTGTATTTTGGTAACTTACTCATTTGATACCAGTCAAGCATATGAATTCTTACCGACATAATTAAGAAAAGAATATAATTTTAGCAACGACAAGTAGCATTTATCCAAATACATCTTCAGATGAAGTTTAAACTTAATAAGAAAATAAATATGAGGATCAGATAAAATTATTATGATAAAATTGTTATGATATTACAAGGTAGACTCATGATTTCAACTATGAAAATACTGAAATCTCCACAAAACCCCTTCTGATATTATAAGGCTTTTAACCTAGAAATCACAGGAAGGAAATTCTAATTACCGCAAGATAATTGGGAAATAATTTTAAACTGAAATTTGTATGTAGAGAACATTTCATTAATGTCAACTATTTTATGAGAGATTATTACTACTTCCAATGTTTACTCGATAAAACATGAGAGCGCACGGCATTATCGCGGTTTCGACAGAGTTGAATGATGAATATGCTCAGATTCATTTTATCACAACTGGCTGTCAATAGTTATCCTGTGAATAAAATTAAAACACTTTGGTTTCTTTGTCTGATTTGATCACATTTCGCTCACATGTTTCAAAATCACCTCTTACATATAAGCGGTAGTTCAGCTATTAAATTTTTGTATTCAGAAAAAGGCTGAAGTAACTCTACTATTTTAGCACAGTGAGGAGATCCGTAAGACGATGTCAATATGTTTCATTCTTTCCATATCTTATCTCCGTTATTTGTGTAATTGAACTTCGCTTATTCATAAACTTTATGTTGTGTTACTACACAAAATATAATAAACACCAGTTATAATTGCTTATCTTTGAAGTTTCAGTGTTATTGTCATACTGTAGTTAACGATAACACAAATGAAGACAGTCGAGTGCATTTGAACACTAAATTTCAGAACGTCTCAGTAAAATCTGAAAACCAAACAATAACTACTTAATTTGCAAAATTTCAATAAACTGTCTCAAACTTCACTGTTCCTTTTGAAGGTATCAATCAATCGTCTCAAACTTCATAGTTTTTTTGATTCCACACCAATCATTCTTTGTTCTTGTTCTCTTTTATTTGATCTTCTTAACCTTCTGCTACCAGGTATTTCACTTTCGATTGATTTACATACTACTTATATCTGTCGACATCAGTAGCACACACCTTAATACCTATCATCTTACTTTTGTCAATAATTTCGTCTTTGATATTAATTAATTGTGCATTTGGGACAACAAATTATGCTAATACTACTGAATTTCACAGTCAAACATGAAGAGTAAGTAGTCTAAAACGAAAATATTTTCCTAAATATTGAAGAAACATTTTGTAAAAATCTATTTTAAATTAACAACTTCTTGTTGGTATAAATAAAATGGTTATGGACAAAACTGACGAAATAAGACCCAAAGTTTTTATGTTATTATGATCCATACAGCCATTTTTTGTTCATAAAACTAGGTGAGGTAGCCAAATTTTATAGTCTTCTGTTATATTGTGACGTACTAATGTAAAAATACGAGTTCAATTTTTTGATCTATCGTCTAAGATTTTTTCATACATATGTAGAATACGATGTAGTAATCACAAGTTTTGTTGCTTTCTCATAATTCACTAATGCTCTTATCGAACAACCATTAAATATTATCTATTACTTACTCTGAAAAAGTGGCTTACATCAAGTCACAAAACGTCGGAAAGACAAGTTTTCTACTCATTTCAATATGACAAAAATACATTTTTTTATTATTAGCCAAAAGTGTTTAGCATTTGATATTGATCTCAATTAAAAATACCTACTAAATCTCTCTGAAATCATTAAAACGTAGATAATACGATTACATTCCATATATTTAAAACAATGCCAATCATAAAATTTGTAGTTTTGCTGACAAACGAGTTAATGTATGTAAATGCTATTTCTATCATTATGAAGCAAGATGCATAAGATTAACATTTTGAACATGTCAGGGGTATATCGGATAACGTCAAGTTTAGTAAAAAGATTAAATTTTTACCATAATCTAGGATTTCTTGATTGATTGGCTGAGAAAAGCGAATAAATATTTGAAATTTGGTATTCTTCGAAAGCCAACACATTCTGAAACGTTTCTAGCTTATATGCTAGTATAGGCTTTACCAAAAGAGGTGATAGTTGCTAAAAATCTAATGAACTGAGTGTATTATGTCGTTATTGAAACATAGACAAAAAGACACAAGTAAATCTAGCCATATCTGCACTGAAGATCAATGCTTATCT